TGTGTGTGTGTGTGTGTGTGTGTGCGTGCGTGCGTGCGTGCGTGCGTGTGTGTGTATGTGTGTGTGTGTGTGTGTATTATATTATATATCTGATACAAAAATGTTTTAAATATAATAAAATAAAAAATAACTTAGTGATTACGAATAGGGATGTTTCTATACAAACACACTCATTAGTATATAGATAAAGGAGTATATATTCTTCTCGTAAATATATCTTACTATTCCAAACATTTCTAGTGAAAAGGTTCCAAATTTTCCAGCCGTCAATTTAAGAGGAATTCTAGATCGATGTACAATGAACATTAAGTTTTTTGCATCTTTCGACGATAGATCATACCATTTGCATTCATAGACGCCATATGCCATCCTAGTGCTCTAAAAATTACATAATTTCGCACAGGATTTTGTTGTATAGTGAATTGATTTTGAATCTTTCGAGAATTTTCTTTCATTTTTCGTTAATGAAAACTTTTATGGAAATAGAGAAACTTGAAAACTTTTATTTTATATAAAATATTTACTTTATATAAAAAGTAAAAATAAATTGTTGCTTTTTATACACTGCATATTTCATAATTTATTAGTTTGCATAAGATCTGGTCGTATTAATCCATAATCCGCGTAGTTATCTTACCTCCGTTATCAATTTTTCAGCTGAATAACAATATGCATACAAGCTGGACAACACTAAGTTAAAGTATAATGTGAGAAAAATCATTTTGATAATAGACACGTTCATATTATTTGTTATTATCTGAAAATAATATGTAATAAAACAATCCTCTGTTTAAAGAAACGTGTATAAATGATTTCACTTACAGTGAAAACTTGAAAAGTTATAAAACACATCTGAAAAGTAGTAGATAACACATGTACAAATAACACTGAGCTGTAGCAGCCGTCAATCGTCTTTGCGGTCCTTAAAAACATTACTTATTTGTTATACGTTAATGATTTATTGAATTTTATTACTCGAATGTACAAATCTTTAAAAAAATTTATTTTATCTTGAATTTATTATTATTTAAGCTTCAATTTTATATGTTTTATTGTGTTTGTTTTTAAGTTTGATATTGTTAAATTTTTTTTTGCTCCTTAAAAGTACAAGAAATTGAAAAAAAAAGATTGATCAACAAATATCTTTTTAGAATACAATACGTACAAATATTCGTTAGTATACGATCAGGAATGTTAAATCTTATTTTTAAATTTTTTTCTAAAAGAAATAATCTTTTATCATAGAATGATTATAGATATTTCACTGCAATGTCAAGTAATGTGAGATTCTAAAATATACCTGATGAGATGATCATGTCGTACGACGATCGCAGCTAAATCTTCCCTAAATGTTAAGGATGATATAGATTTGTTGGCTAATTTGTTTACCAAATTATTCAGCATTGTCCGCAAATTTATCAGTTGCGCGCACACTTGTAATACGAGCATCGAGACAAAGCTGTCAATAACACCATTAGCGAAAGCTGAATATATTCCACCGAAAAGTTGGATAAAATAGGTGATTTCGTAGTTCGGACTTTTTTGAATCGTTTCTATCCGGTAAATGAGGTTTCGTTCAGGCTGGTGAATAGTTTTGAAAAACCTCAGCAATTGAAGAGAAATGTGACATATAATTGAGCTAGCTGCGAATGCACAACATTTAAAGGACAGATTTCTGCCACTTCTCGTAATCTCCAACATAGTATTTCGTTCCCATTCTTTCGTCGAAATCATCCAATCGGTCATAATCGATTTTATCAGCGATTGAAGTGCTTCCAGATTGAATATTAAGTACATCAATTATTAAAACAAAACAAATTTCCAGACAGTATCGTTCAAAATAAAACATAAGACGTTTTAAAGATACCATTAAGAAATTTTTTAGGCGTCATAGCAAAAGTTACATCTTATGTTCCGATTTTGAACATGCGTAGATTTCTATATATAATAAACGTGATTTGAATATTTTGTAACTACATCTTAAATAAAGATGTAATTTTGTGACATTTTGTATTACAAAAATAAATCTGTCTGATAATTATTGTTGTGGGAAATAAACTTACTTTTGCCGTGATACCAAGTTACAAGCAATTTACACACTGCCAACATGCTGAAATTTGCAGAGGAGAAATTTTCCACCATCCGAGTCACGCTACCCGCAGCACGAATTACATTTATCATTTGAGGACCGAATACATACAGACTCACAGAACACATAACAATAATGAATCTTATACTTGGTCGACGAAATTCATTCAAGGGAATCTGTGGATCGGGCCATATACCAAAGATCCATAACCATTGGCGAATCGGATTAAATATGTAATTCAAATCTAATAAAATCAAATTTTAGAATAGACATAGTTTAATGTTAAATTAGATTAAACATTGTTATCTTTTAAGCTTTTTTGTAAATAGCCTTATAATTTTAGATCTTTACAACAAATAATTTATAGATTTTCTTGCAACAAATTATTATAATTATAAAACGAATATTTTTTTCATTTAATAAACAATTATTTAATTTAAAAACGTTATAAATTTTTTATGTTTACTTTTTTTTATTAAATCCATAAATTTTTTATGTTTACTTTTTTTTTATTAAATCCATAAATAAATTTTTACTAAATATTATATTAAACAAATTGACTATAATTATTTTAAAGGAAAACTTTTTAATTATGAAATAAAAATAAAATAAAATATATGATAAACCAACTAGAAAAAAGATTAGAAAAATCTTGAAAATTAAATATAATTATCAATGCACGTAATAATATTTTATAAGAAACAAATTATTTGATAATATGTATATTCTCTTTATTAGTTATCACAAAGAAGTAATAATTAACTTTTTTGGAAGTTTTATAGAATTCAAATCAGGTTCAAATTTTTTATTAACGCGTGATCTTTAATATTTAATTTTTATATACTGCATTATATCATATATGTTGTATGACGTGGTTGTTTTTAATAGAATATTGCTAGCTTTTGTTTGTTTTTTTTTCTTTAACATTTTACCTTTATTGACATTCATTGATGTTCACGGCGCGAAAATTATCGTTTGACTGAAGCACTCTTCACGATTATACCAAACCATTATGATTTTGCGCTTGCTCAGTACACAAAGGATTCAACCGCTACCATCTGTGAGTACTTCGATAAACCCTTTCGGATACCAATCAATAGTGAAACGAGTAGCATATAATTATTATGCTATTGATAATAGCCGAATGTTATGAATATTGTTTTTTTAAATACGATATCATCATATTAATTAAAAAGTCACTTTATTATTAAGTTAATTAATTAAGAAAAGATCGTTATTAAATAAAAAAATTAGTATTTAATTCTTTTTTTTTGTTATATTAACTATAACAAAAAAACGAAACAAATTATTTCACTTACTGAGGAAACTTAAAAGATTTTAAAATGTAAAAAGTAGAGGTTTTTTAATGTTTTAATGATGCGGCTGTGTGTGTGATGATGACTTCAGTCCAATTTCACAACTCACGATTAACTCTTAAGCGAGGTTTAACTTATTCCTCATCTCTTTCCAATTCTAGAATTGAAAAGAGATAATGAATAAGTTAAACCTCGGTTAAGAATTAACCATGACTTGTGAAACTGGGCCTTAGTGAAATACGAAACATTCCGTAAAGATTTCTATTATTTACATTCAAATAAATTTTATTTGTCATTTTATTTTGCTTTTTTATTAGACCGTTGCATTACATTTATTTATATAAATATTCTTACACAATTGTAATATTAACGTGCTAAAGAAACATTAATGAATAACATGTTAAACAGGTAATAAAAAGTATATAATATATATAGTTATTGTTTAAAATTTAATATATAATAGTATAGTATATTCTAAAAAATATTAATTATGATACCATTCAGTGTTTATGTAATTCTTGTTATGGTATTAATGTTAATGCCAGCATGATGTGAATTTGAAACCTCTAATGTTTATATCAACACTATCGATGGAGTGAAATTAAAGTAAAATTCACGACATGTTATTAATATTAACATCAGCATGGTAAGAATTATATAGATACCGCGTAGTGTTAAATTCACACCGATATTTTTTAGAGTATGCCTTAGCGTGAATTTTAAATTATTGATTTAATTAATAAATTATCATATTTGATAAACAAGAATTATTTAATTACTTAATAGAAGTTTATATTATTGCAATACAATAAAATTGATAAGTTATTTCTTTATAATATTTAATTTTAGAATGTTTTCTTAAATCTTATGGTTAAATTGCTGAATGATGTAAAAAGCTGTGGACTAATATTTAAATAATAATTAAACTTTGCTGAACATGTGCATTTTTCTAATTCAAAAGTTACAAGTGCATACAAATCTATTTATTTTATTATTCAAAAACTGATGCCATAATCCGTTGTAAGAAATCCATTTGCTATTATCTCTTAGTATCATTTTCTTTAACCTCTGATTGTTAGCAATGCTGATAAATATCCCATTGCCGTTTTGATAGCCTAAACAGAATACAGAACGTAAATATAGTTTTAAGAGATACAATTTTAAGTAATCATGACGATTTCGCATAAAGGAACATGGTAGTGTCACTGCGCTTGGTTTAGCGCCGAGATATTACCGTGTCTCCTGATAGATGCTACGAATAATACATAATATGTATATACAATAAAAAATATATTTATGTACATATGTACACACACACACGCACGCACTCATGCACGCACTCATGCACGCATGCATTACAAGTACTCTAAAATTCGTGACTCAAAATGCTTTAGCAAGAAAGTTTTCGAAAAATTAAGTAAAAAGAGTTATTTATGAATTTTTGTTTTAAGCTATAATTTCTACGGTATAAGAGTTTAAATATATTTTATTACAACTTATGTTTATGTACATAGTTACTTGTGACCATTAGTGAACGCATTGAAATACGTACTCTTCAGCTAATACCCGCGATTCATAGACATTTAAATCTTTTTCCTAAAAATTACTGCTTAAAATAAAAATTTACAAATAACTTTTTTACTTAAATTTACGAGAACTACATTGCTACAGTATTTTAAGTCGCAAATTTTTTTCGAAAATTAATTTCAATTAATTTTACCAATATTTGCAACTTTTCAGACAGTACAACATTTATTTAAAACATTTTTCCTTATCCTTTTACTTTTCCAGATACTTGATCCATTATATTTGAAATAAAACACTCCGTATATATAGATTTTGCATAAAAACCCAAATCTTCGTATACGTTATAAATTACACATTGTTTTTATAATTTTTCTATTATTACATAATATACTATACATACA